TGGAGAAATGACAGTAGTTATGGAAAGGCATTAGGTCATTTGTTCAGAGTAGCTATGAGTCATGCTTTTTTCAATGGCAATCAACAACATTCATCATAATGGAAGTACCATGAAGCTAAGGAAGCATTTTCATCAATAGTGTTGTTATGTGACATTCACTACGACTCATAGCAACCATGTGAGCAACAGATCTAAACCTTACCCTATTTTTGCCACCCTCATAATCTCTGCCATGCTTGAGCCCATTGTTATAGTCACTGGGTAGGTAGGTCACAGAAATTTTTCAGTTCATATTTGGAGACAGTCATTGAATAAGTGGAAATCCTCTTGGATAGTGTAGGGTCTAGTAATGCTGTCACTGTGTAGGTCACAGACATTTTCAGTTCCTATTTGGAGATAATCATTGAACAAGTAGAAGGCCCCTTGGAGTGTATTGTTTTGTTGTTGTATGCTGTAGAGTCAGAACCAAGCCATAGCAGACCCTCAGAGGGTCTGTGGATTTTCAGGGGCAGTTCAATGCACAGGAGGAGACTGCCCATCTTTCTCCCGTGGAGCACCTGGTGGCCTGGAACTGTGCATGCCTTCCTTGGGGATTGCAGTGAAAAGACTCAAGAGATAGAGCTTAGAGGCAGCTGACAACTAACCAATCAGCTCCTCCATGAGACTGGAGGTTCTCCATTCTTCCCTGTGCTGTTGGGTCACCCTGGGATGTCTTCATCAGAGCTTATTTATAGTACAAATAAAAGCGAAAGTACTAAAGTTTGCGAGCAATTTCCCTTTATTCCTTTCCCCGCCTTTAAACCGGATGCAAGGCCACTTCTGTAGCCCCACTGACATACACACCCAGAACACTAGGTCTACCTTATCTATAATTCCACCTTGAAAGAATGCTGAGCCTGTGAGCATTATCTATCCTGGGGGTTGGGGCAACTATAGAGAACTGCTGGTACAGGGGCCAAGAATTTTCATTTTGTAGCTCTCTCTCGAGCCTGGCAGTTTGGAAGTGTTTAAAGACAGGAAGGTGTGAGGGGTTTAGGATGATCAATGGGATTATAAAGGATGGTGAGAAGACAGAATAAAATGAGACCAAACAAAAAGAGGGGGAGAGAAAAAGTAATAAAGTAACAACATTTATGATTTACTTTTCTGGTCTGGTAGATGTTCATTAGAATCCAATGGGAATTAAAAATTTTTTTAAAAGAGCAAGGAAAAAAAAACCAAAAAAAAAACCCCCAAAACCACCCACCACAACACAATGAAACTAGCAATTAATGCTCAATGGAGACTGTGTTTACTGGAGCCCTAGTGGTCTAGTGATAAGGAACTGTTGTGATCTTTCATAAAAGCACGGATCAAATCCACCAGCTGCTCAAAAAAAGAGGTCTCCCGTGTGATGATTTACTGTCTCTGAAAGTGCTGTGGAGTTTAGCTATGTGTTGGCTCAACTGCCAACAGAAACTGGGCAAGATGACAAGTCTAAGTCCCTTCTTTGTTCTGTGATTCTAGTTTTGTTTCCCTGACAATGTTTTTGCATTAATAATGACATTTAATGATTATTTCTCAAACTATAATTGCAATAAGAAGAAAATCAAAGCAGAAAATGTATTTCTGCTTAAAAATATTTGTTTATATCACTTCTTAAATTAAGTCTTCACATTTTGAGGAAAAGACTGGAAAGTGGATTTATAATATTCTGATTCAGTTTGCAACCTTATAAGGTGCTCAGAGCTTAAAAGAGCCTGGGATGGACAGAGGTCCTTTGTGATTATTTTTATTCTTTTATGATAAAAACACTAACATTATTTTCCTAGGCTGTATTCCAAAGTAGAACTTTTTCCTTATTAATTTTAATGAAAGTTTACAGAGACTTTGGCTTTCCATTCATTGTTGCACTTTTCTCCCTGCCCTCCCCCTCTCCCAGATCTCTCTCCTTTGGAAAGTAAAAGAAAAATTCATTCACTGTTATACAATCCGGCCCCCCCCCCCCCCCCCCCCCCCCCCCCCCCCCCCCCCGCCAAGTCCGCAAGTCGTTCTGGACTCCTCTCATACAATACCTAATTTATTTATCCCTTTTAAACAGTTCTCTCCCTCATCTGTTTCAATGCAGTATGCATAATTTATCCCATCTTTCTTAGTCTCCCTCCAACCCTGATGTCAGTCCTGTTCTACAACAGTGGCACTATGCAGTATTTTGTCCTTTTGTGACTGAGATATCTCACTCAACATAATGTCCTCTAGGGTAACCCATTTTGTATGATATTTCATGAATTCCTTATTTTTCAATGCAATGTAGTATTCCACTGGGCGAATATACCACAGCTTCTCTATCTTTCCTATGTTGATGGACACTTACGTTGTTTCCAACTCTTCCCTAATGTGAACAAAGCCGTGATAAACATGGACATGCATATATCTGCATGGGTGGTGGTTATGGTTTCTTTGGGGTATATTCCCAGTAGTGGAATTGGTATTTCTATTTGAGAAAGCGCCATACAGCCTTCCATAGTGGTTGTACCATTTTACACTCCCACCAACAGTGAATAAGGGTTCCAGTTTCTCTGCAACCTCATCAGCATATGTTGTTTGGACAAAGTATAAATTTAAAGCAATTTAAGATTATTTTTAGAAAGAAAAGTAACATTTTTCCTCAAGAACTTTAGTGCCCTAGGGGGGTAAGGAGTTGCATTGTTAACTTAAAGGCACATGGTTCAAATCCACCAGTTGTTCTACAGGTGAAAAATGGGCAATGTCTGTCTTCCTATGAGATTTATAGCATCTGAAAGCCCACTGGAGGATCAGGTATGAGTCTGTTCTGACTCGATGGCACCTAACAACAAAAAGAATCCAGAGACATAGGTATATTTTGTGAAGATCCAAAATGTCTGAGAAGCAGAGACTCAAAGCAGCAAAAATCTAGAGCTAAATAAACTAGAGAGCAAAACATATAACAGCAAATTCTGCCCACCATATAATCCATACTAGCGAAGGAATTTGATCATCTGGGCAAGTCTAGTTAGAACTGTTCCCTGCTTCTTTGGTTTAAGCCCAAAGGCTGGGTACTTTTGCTTTCCTTGCAATACCCTTCCGAGTATAAGCTAAAACTACAAAGTACTAAAATAATAATCAACCCTCACAACAACAACAAAAAAAAATTCAAACTCATTACTATGGAGTCAGAATTGATTCATAGCTGACCCTCCCTCCAGCAAGTTTTCAAGGATGTAAATCCTCCTTGAGCTTTCTCCTTGGAAACTGGTGATGGATTTGAACAACCAGATAGGCGTGGCCTTTGGGTTAGCAGTGCAACTCTGTATGGACTTCACCAACTTTGCTTCATTCAAGTCACTCTTCTTTCATCAACAGGAAGTTTGTGAAAATCAAAAGTTAGGTTAATGACTGGGGGGAAAAAAGTTATGTTGTTGTTAGATGATGTCGAGTTGACTAAGTCTCACAGAAACTCTATGAACTGATATGAATCTTAGCCTAACCCGTGCCATCCTCAAGATCTCAAGACTTGCTTGAGCCCACTGTACACGCACTGTGTCATTCCAGCTCCTTGAGGGTCTTCCTCTCTTTTTTTTAAATTTTATTTTAATTTTTTAATTTTGTGTGTGAGTGTACCGTCAAATCGGATCTGACTGGTACAGGAGATTGTCCCTCCTTCCCCGGCAGAGAATCTGGTGGATTTGAACCGTGCGCCTCTTCTCCTCTCTTTCTAACTCTCTACCTTTTGCAGCATGATGTCCTTTTCTCAGGACTGCCTCTTCCTGATATGTCCAAAGTATGTCGGTTGAATTTTCACCATCCTTGTCTCTAAGAAGCACCCTGGTTGCACGCATTTCATCCAAGATTGATCTGTTCTCTGGTAGTCCTTACATCACAATTTAAATGTATGATTCTTCTTGTTATTAGCGTGTTTTTTTTTAAACTATTTCCACAAATAGTTCAACATTTTTTACCCATTAATAGTCACCCAAATGCTATGACGTTGCCTTACTAGGAGCATGTACATCGTCTTTTTTTGACAGCATACTTGGTTTCGTTCACTGTTAAGAGAGGGTTAGAATTGAGTGGGAAACTCAAGTTAAATTTGTTACATACAGAAAGGTTACTTCCTTCTCCGTGACAGAAAATGAATCCATCTGGGTAGGACAAGCCTTACCCCTTTTAACTGTAGGTCTTGTTACAGTTTCTAGTGAAATTGAACATTTTATCAATAATCTAAACGAAATTAAAAGGGTTTGGGTCACTTTTCACTCCCATACCTCGCACACACACATTTAGACACATCTCCCAACCTGCTAACAAGAGGGGCAATTTCACAAGCGCACCAGGAGGAGGAAGGTGGCCAACTATTAGAATTTTCCAGATGCCCCAAAGTGATTTCAAGTCTCCCAGTGTAAAAAGGGCAGCGGGAAACAAACTCCATCAAAGGTGCAAAACACTCTGTGCATGGGGAGGGTGGGGAGGGTTAGAGGTGCAGCGGCCGGGCGCCCCCCAAGCCTTGTTCCAGTTCTCGCGGTGCCGTTAGCGGACCGCACGTTGGAAATCCCCGAGCCCACCCTCCCCCCCATGGAATCACAGGGATTCCACGGCGAGAATTACGCTGCGATCCGCGACAGGGAACTGGGGGGTGTCCGCCGCCCACAGACTTCGCCAGAGGGGAAACAGGCCTGGGGACAGCCGCCCTGGTTAACGGCCCAGGAAGCCTCGTCCCGCACGGTGGGCGGGCGCCGGAGGCCAAGGGGATGCCGGACGGGGAGGGGGCGCCCCGCAAAGGCGGACCCCGGGAAGGCGGGCCCCGCGAAGGC